AGTGGCAGCACTCGGCGCCTGGTCGGGAAATGTCATGTCCCTTACCACTGCGAGCTTCAGAGTAAATATTGCTTCAAAATCAAATCAATTTTAGCGCAATTTAAACCTGGATGATTGTAACCAGTATCACTCCAAATTCGTCTGCCTTGGGAAAGCTAGCGTGTCTCTGACATAGTGATAACACTCGTTGCCTTCTCTAGTGCAGCTCAACCAGGTCTCATCCCATTCGTCGATATTTGTGATATCACAAATCCCGGAAAATATGCGTTGTAGTCCAAACGAGTCATTCAGTTTAGTTTTTGAAAAGTGATTTCTGTTAAATAAAATATCTCCTTTTGAAGTGGACTTTGAGCTTTGTAACTTTGCAGATCTTTTTTTATGCTCAAACAGCAACATTACTGACTAACTAAAGTTGAAAAAGTGAAAAAGCATAATAGGATCCCTTTAATTTCTTTCATTTAATTTCACTGAAAAACCTTAAGAAGGCTGCATGTTCCCCCTGTGACAAGTACATAATTTCGTAATTAATACTTTCAGCAAAAGTGACAGTAAAGTCTTTTGTAATGTTGCAAAAAAAATCTGTTTCAAATAAATTTAAACTTTCTATTCACCGAAAAATCCTTAAAATTACAATTTTCACAAAAATATTAAGCAGCACAACTGTTTTAACATTGATAATAAGACATGTTTATTGAGCAAATCAGCATATTACAATGATTTCTGAATGATCATGTGACACAAAAAACTTGGAGAAATGGCTGCTGAAAATTCAGCTTTAACATCACAGGAATAAATTACTTTTTTTTTTTTAAAAAGCATTCAAATAGAAAATTGTCATTTTAAGATGTAATAATATTTTTGTTATTTTGACTGTATTTTTGATCAAATAAATGCAGCCTCAGTAAGCATAACTTCTTTCAAAAACATTTAAAAAAATCTTACTGACCCCAATCTTTTGGTAAGTTGGTACAGTTGTGAGTGTAGATCAAAGATTTGTGTGCCTGAGAGAAACCTAAAGATGGTTCATATTTGCTGCTCTGGGAATTAGCTAATTGAGAAAACCAGACTAATCTAAAAATAATATTTCATTATTATTGTTATTATTTAATAGTAGTTAATAATAGTTTTCAAACATGCCATTCTATTTATGCAAGATAACCTAAATGGGTTTATTAGAGACATCTGTATAAAATGTACAAACAGAAGAGTTTAAAATACTCTCTTTTTTCTTGAAGATAGATTGTTAGGACATTTATTCCATGTAAGTTAACATGGCAACACTGTAAAATAAATTAGTTCTTCATCTCTCTGTATGAAAATTTTGTTTAAAATTCATGAGCTGACATGAATTTCTATTGCATAGAGATTTCTGACTATTGCACCGCCCAGTAAAAGTTTCTGGCTAGCACTTTCTTTAAACTCTTCAGGGTGCATCACTTTATCCGAGGCACTGGAAAGAAGAATCATGCCACTTACATATTTTACAATCTTTATTTTGATGTGTGGATTTTATTCCCGATTTCATGCTATCGGTGAGTCTCACTTTAACTACTGATCATATCAAAAGGAAGAATATTCTTTCTAGATATCTTAATTCTTCCCTCTTATGCAGCTTGTCGATCAACACAACATAAATTCTAATTAGAAATTAATAAATTATAGAATGATTTAATAATGTTCATGCCATTTGAAAAAAAAAAAATAATTTATGTACAGTAATCTGCAGTTTCATATCCACTGTTATTATATTCAAATTAAATATTTATTTTAAGCTCTATATAACGGTTTTATTCAAAAAATTTAACCTAAACATGTCTATGTCAGTGTGTGATTAACAACCACTACAGACAACCAGTTTTATTTATAAAGCATACAGTCTTAGCCTCTCTTTGTTCAAATATTTTGAGAATGCTGGTGAAAACATACTGTATTTGTGTCCTCAGCAAGGTTTGTTGATTTTATCTTGCAGTGTTTGTTGTTTGTAATTGTAATTGTAATTGATTTTCTTTCTACACAGCATATCCACCAATTCAAACAGTTCAGACCCAAAATAAAGGTTGGTTGATTTTCTGTACAGCAACAATATTTAAAAAATATGAAAAAGTATATATTTTTTTAATGTTTTTAACGTTAGAAAGATATTTGCAGTTTCTCACACTCCTTTCTAATATTCTGGTTCTCAAAGTTCAGCATGGATCTGACGTGTCTTTGAGATGTGACGTTCCTCTCCTGTCTAAATCCTCCACATTGCACTGGGAGAAAGATGGAGAACAAACACCCAACACCACTCTGATGTACAACAACTCTGCCTACATCATCTTACACACTGTTGATGAACGCAGTAAAGGGGAATATTACTGTAGATTGATGAAAGATGGAAGAGTACAAACTGTTAGGATTCACACACTTAATGTTACTTCACGTAAGTACATTTTTACGTTATTATGTTATTCTTACGTTAAATCTGTGTTTATGCCTGTTGTATGCCTAAACATTTTCCATTAAGAAGACTATAGGTTAAATGTGCAGAAGTCATTAAAAAAAATAAAGAAAATAAGGTTTAGGCTGAAAGACAGTGCTTTTCACAAATATGTTTAGAAATGAACTATGTACTAACTGAGATAGATGTATTTACCGAAACTCACCAGGTTACCTAACTGTTTTTCCAGATTCACATGGTAAAAGTCAAACCATTTACAGACAAAGCTCCAGTAATAGCGATGTATCACTGATCTGCAAGTCTACCAGAAGATATCAGAACTGGAAGTGGAC